CGGAGACCCGTGCCTGCCCCCACTCGCGCGCCCGCACACACGTCCATGCCAACACGCGCTGCAGGATTTACCCACCCTTCTCCCAGTCAGCCCCAAACACCCTGCTCTGCTCTTCTCCCTCTGCTTAGCCTGCCAGAGGGAGGAGGAGGAAATTGAAAGCAAATCTCCGCACAATGCACTGGTTTCCCCTGGGGTGGATGTGAAATGCCCTGAGCTGTTGCCTGCCCTCGCCCCCACCCTCCCCGTTCCCCGGTGAAAGCCCTACCACCCTTCCTGCGGTGTCCCCCCTTCCTCCAGGTCAGGAGTTTGGAGCAAAGCCTGCAGGGGCCGTGGAGAGAAGAGAGCCCCTTACCAGCCGTTTCTCATGTGCCTCCATCAGGGTGACGCTGCTGTGGCCCTCACGGCATCCCACGACAGAGCGGAGCATGCAGATGTGCTGCCCTTCGTCCTGGCAGTAGCACTCCAGCAGCCTGTGGTGCTCCTGGCACCTCCTCTCCTCCACCGCGCTGTTCGCGCCCACCTCTACCAGGACATGGTCCTGCTGGGAAGCTGTGGTTCAAGTGGGCCTGGCACAGAGACGCGTTGCAGATCAGGCAGGCTTTCGCTGCTGGCTGGGGCGATTCCAGGCAGAAGTCACAGGGAATCACCTCCTCCTTCCCCTGTGCAGAGTCCTCATCCTGTTCTTTGCTGGAAGTGGTGGCCTCCATGATGCTGCACAGCTGGGAATTCTTCTGCAGCTCCAGGATGGACCCCAACTGGGACTCGCACATGGGGCAGGAGGGAGGGGTCTTGGATTGCTGCTGGGCATTGAGTGCCTTCTGGATGCACTGCTTGCAGAACCTGTGACCACAGCTCAGCCACACTGGGTTCCTGTACAGACACAGGCAGATGGGACAGCTGAGTACGTCCTCCAGGCTGGAACACCTTATAAATTCTTCCCTAGCTTTTGCCATGGCTGCAGAAACTGTGTTAGCCAGTCTGCGACAAATGAAACTAAAGAGACGTCCTCGGCGTCATGCCCCAGTCGGAGGTCCCAGCCCAGAGGCTGCAAGTCCTTCCTCTCCACCAGCTGGCGGATGCACATCCTGGGCTCCACCCGCAAGCAGCCCTTTTTGGAGCTGCGCCAGCCACTTTTAGACGTTTGCCCTCAATCTCGGGCAGCATCGCTCCACATGTGAGCCCACTGCAGGCGGGGGGGAGCAGGGGGTGCTGGGGAGGGCATGAGGTGGACGCTTCTCGTACAACTCTGCCCTCCCGGAAAAAATCTTCCATCTCACACCAAGGGCAGCGAATTAAAGATAAACCCTGGATGAGAAGAGTATGAGCCTGGCAGGGGTAAGCCAGGAATCCCCTCTGCTTTGTCTGGTTCTTCTCCACAACAGTTACAGATGCTCCCATAAAGGTAAAACAGGGAGAACTCGGGAAAGTTCTACTGGGACTTGCTGAGGCTGGTCTCCTACCTGCAGCCAGCTGACAAGGAAATGGGAGCTGGAAAAGGCTCTCAGAAAGGCACTCTAGGATGGGAACATCCCTGTACCGTGACACCAGCCTTGCTTACCTTGCTTTGCGCCCGTACTACCTGACACCAGGCAGATCTGCACGGTTTTCCATACCTGTCATGGTTTAATCGGGCCAGCAACTAAAGGCACTCAGCTGCTCACTCTCCCTCCGCCAGCCCCAAGGGATGGGGAAGAGAATTAAAGGGGAAAAGGGAAGGAGACCCATGGGTTAAGGTAAGAACAATTTAGTAATAATAATGTATGAATATATATATATGTATGATAATAATATATAAACATCAGTGCACTGTCAGCGTTCATCTCATAGCAAATCCCACTAAAACCAAAACACAGAGCTCTTCTAGCTGCTAAAAAGAACTAATTCTGTCCCAGCCGAAACCAGGATGATGTCATTTTGGTACCTGTAACAAAAGACAAAACACAGCCACTTTCTTAGAAGACTGAACAAGGATTTATTTTAGCATATGCAAAACTAGCGTCCCTCAAGGTCCTTCACTGTCCCTGCTGGGGTGGAGAGCTCCTGCCTGGACCTCTTCATGCAAATACCCTGCCTCTGTCTGAAGGCAGCAGGACCACAGGCAGCAGGCAGGAATATCATCTCTTCCTCTCCAAGGCATCTGGACAATCATAAGAACGAATTAATCCAAGACACCTCTGGCACAGACTAAAGGCACAAGAGTTTTCCTCTTTATTACTCCCTTTGCTGTGAGATTTTTGCATAGGTGAGGAGAAAATTAAAATTGAGGCAAGAGGTAGGTAAGTGATCTATCAGAGAACTCTCAGGGGAGGACAGCAGCGGAGAGCAAGAGAAACCAGGTGTCTCACTGCCTAGTCTCCACTCGCCTCCCAGGCCAGCTTTGCTTCTGGAATGGGTGGCTTAAGTTGTGCAGCACAGGCACAGGTAAAAGCTGATGCATAAAAGCAAAGATGAACGTTGCTGCTGCTTAGTTCTGTAGCAGTTAACGTTGTGCTGTCAACTTTTTTACAAACTAAATTGCCATCAAGTTTCGCAAACTAAATTACTTTAATAACATGCAGCCAACACAGCATTTGATATAGCTGAGCAAAAATGTGCAACTTAACAGCATTTCCATCATGATTAACAGAACAAGTAAGATAGGAGCTCTTGCAGTAAGCAGCAGTGTGCTGTGATATGCCCCAGAGAGGCCTTGCCCTCACACACACGAGCTGTCACAGCAGCCCAAAATCCAATTTCTAAACTGCCAGCTTCGCACAGCCTCCGTGCTGACGCAGGATAACCTAGGCCTGGAAACACAAAACAGCACCTTGTCCCCACATCATTACAGGAGCTTCAAAGAGCCGTCAGACACGCTGAAGTTAGCATGGGTGGGATAGTTTGAAGGGGTGCCTGAGGGTCTCAGCAGGATCTTCATCCTTCACAGACGCGTTATAAAATGACAGTGTTTTTCTTCTGCAGTTGTGATAATCATTTGACCTCAGAACACAGAGAGGTAACCATGAGAAATTTGCAGGTAGCCCTCAAATTTGGGTTGAACAATTCTGAGCTTCCAGCATCTTGCATTGCTGGTGTCCACCTCCCAGAAGTGACAGCCCTTCAAGAAGCTCTGGTTGCTCTGCATGTGGGAGATGGCATTGTGTGTATTTGGTACCCCAAATTGGAAAGAATTGACTGAGGGTGTAAATGCTACATTGTCTGGGTGAGCAAATCCACCTCCTTAACGCAGTGAAGAAGTCAGATTTTCATGATCTAGAGAAAGAAAAAAAAACACATTATGATTAGCAGATAATTGTGCAGATTTGCATAAATCCCCATCGCTGAGAGCGAGATTCCCACTCCAAGTCATCCGAGCGTCAATCCAAGTCATCCAAGTCCAACCCACTCAAGCATACGTTAACTGAAACACCGTCTGCACCTCTTAGCTGCTCCTGTTTAATTCTAAAGGGCGTTGATACCCCATTCCAAGAAATGTGGCTCTTCCAGAATTTTGCAGTGTCTTTCTGCTTTTTGTTTCCAACTACAGCAACTCTTAGATTTTAATTTTCCATCATTGTCCTGCAGAGCTTCATTAGGCATTTTTAAAAACTTCCCAGATTAACTTCCATGTACAAGAAATGTATGAACAGTAGCACAGCCATTTTATAAACGCCTATTTGCTTAGGATCATTCAGTTATTTTCTAGAACTCACAAAACTTCCTAGCATGGCCAGTCACAAGACGTTAATTCTACCCTCAGGAATTTGCAGAATGTTTTTATTCAGACCTTCTCTTGCACATAACGCATTTCAATATTGTGGCATTTTCTGCTCTAAAAGTTACTCCTTCAGGAAATCGAAACAGTGGCAGTGACTCGGGCAACTAACTAGAATTGCTCAGATGGCAAAGATAATTAGGAAAACCTGGATCTGAGGCTCTCTAGCCAGAATAGGTCTGGACTATGCTCACAGGGATGGCAGAGACTGAGCTCAGGAGTGGCCATGAGCACGGTGTGCATCTTAGCGTACCCCAGGCTGTGTGATGGCAGCCAACTTGGTGCGCACATCACACACACTTTGGGCAGAGCCGTCGACCCCAGCTGTCTCTCGGTCTTGGCCCTAGGCTCACTGTCAGGAAGGGCTCAAGCACCATCAAAAGAGCAGTAACAAGGCAGCCTGAATTTTTTCGAATCAGTTGGACAAGCATTCCACCGTGCCCAGCACTGGGACCATAGGTTGATCTTACAAAACATTACAAAAGAGTAGAATTATTTACCTAGAAAGAGTAGATTATTTATGCTGTAAGACAAACTCCACTTGCCACAGCTGTGATGAGTTCTCAACTTTGCCCGTGCCTTGAATCAAAGTGATGCTACAGACAGAAGAGGTGTTGCTATTCCCTTCTCTTAATCCTTCCAGAAAACTCCTAGGACATCCAAACCTGTTTACCCAGAGCCCATTTTAACAAGGTGTATTCAAGGCACGTCCCAAAGTGCTGAAGCCCAGGACAAGCACCCTTTTATGTACACATATGTGAAAATAATCAAATACAATGCTAGTAATCAGTTCTTCTAGAGATACTTGGTGTACTTGGTGTCTTATTGCAGTCCTTTCTTAAATATGTTTCGTCAGCTTCTCTGTCTTGCTTGTCATAGTGAAACGGTACTTACCAGATGGTGTTTTTCAATGAGGATCGCATATCTAAGAGGAATTGCTGGAAAAGCCTTAGAGTAGCGTGTGTTTTAGATTCATCCAAAATAATGGGTGGCATTGGCAGTTTTACACCACCTTTGTTAAGAATTTTCTTGCGTTTCCTAAAACATGTAGAAATACATCAGAAGAGCAGCAAGACATCAGAAAACCACCACCAAGCCCGTCCCTGAGCCAACAACTGCATCCCCTGCTCCACACCCTGCCTCGATGGGAGATAGAAAGCAGCTTCTGTCCTCCCCTCCTTCTGCAGCTTCCCCTCTGAGCGGTGTTTTCCCAGAACCCCAAATCTCTTCAACATCGTTAGGATGAAGTTCACTCCATGGACAATATCTGTCCCCAGCGCACCTTGTCTCAGCCACCTCAGCCCCAGCTTTTGCCAGGACAGACCCTAGCATCATGTTTGCAGTTCCAGTCCTCAAGTCCCCATAGCAGGAGCTAACGAGGTGTCAGGGCAGCTGCTGGGATGCTGAGACAGAAAACGAGGAGTGCTGTGTTATCACAGCCAAGGGGCAACTGCTGCACCTGCAATGCAGGGCTGGGGAAAGGCTGGGCTAGGGCAGCCTGCGTGCACACCGTGCTGGGTGGGCACTGGGAGAACGCCTCAGGAGAAAAGCTATGAACTCTGGGGATTCATGGCTTCTCTGCATGCTTTGGCTCCTGCCGCATTTGCTTCTTACAAGCAGAAGGCAATGCAAACTGGGGGATGACTCAGGATATCTAAGCTCATCCGTCCTTCGCGTGCCCATCTACGGACTTAAATATTCAGGAATTGCCCTCAGAATGGGTCTTGACAACAGGTGTGGAGGGTACAGAAGCCATGTTCTATATGAAGAGTCACACATGACCTCTGTTAACATTCTGGGGCTTCTCCAAGTCTCTGACGAAGTCAGGCTCAGAGTGTGCAGTCAGCGTGCCCGGGGGGCAGGCAGGGCTAGCCCAGGGAACTGTGGGCCTGCAGTGCATGCAGGCTGGGCTAGTAGCCCCGCACTGCCGGGCTACCAGTCACCTAAAGCAACATGAAATGCAATAGTAGACCACCTCGAGAAGAGCTTACCTGGCTTGAATTGCTGTAAAAGCCTGTGAAAGACATTTTGAAAGTAGAATTAGCATAGTGCAGGCAAAGGCTAGCCCAAGAGTTGAGTACCTCTGGGAAGGGAGATGCTGTTAGGTACCTTCGTGAAAAGCAGTAGGTCTTTCTGATCTCTCAGAGCCTCCAGCTCCTGTATATCACGGCTGGCTGCATCCTTCTCCTCTTTGTGTTTCTG